AAAAAAAAAGGAGGTCAGAGCTGTGGAGTGTTGATCTAAACAAAGACTAAGGAAACCATAGTGGAAAGCTCATTTGTCGGTTCTTTGTCACCTTGAATTATGGTTGGCAGTTGGTAAAGACTGCTAACTGAGGGTGGGGGAGTAATCCTCTCAGTCAGAATCTTACTATAATCAATACTAGTTCATCCAGATGCATTAATGAGTCACGGGAACTAATCAGAGGCATCCTGGAAGAGTTTTAGTAGGTTCTTAGGCAAGCAGTTTAGTAATCGAACTCAGTTTTCCTCTCAACCCCACCTGAGTGTCTATTCCAGCAGCTTACAGAAATAATCAAGAAGAATCCTGGAGTCTTTGCCTAGGACCTGTAATTGTATAGGAGTCACCCCACCTTGGGATTCGAGAAGTTAAGATAGTAGGTTTCCAGCTTTGGCTGTTGCTCCCCACTCCCTTTGGCAGTGGAAAGTCTTTACTCTCAGGGGCTGCCTTTGGCTTTGTTTCTTTGTTTGAGCAGTTGCTGTGCTCTCCTCTGGTCTTATCTGAGCACATAGAACAGACCGAAGCCCCTGGCATCCCAGGACGTTCTTCTTTGGACCATCTCCATGAGTCACAGCTGCACACGTTTGCAAGAGACACCACAATCTAGACACAGCAAAGCATCGTCTTTTGCATGTACTGAGGTTCCGGACGATAGTTTTTTATCTTGGACAAGTTCCCTTTTCTTTCCTCTTTTGCCTGTTCATTTTTATCTCTATCTCTTTATAGTATATAAATAATTGGCTTATCCTCTTTACTGCACAAAGAGAAAATTAAACGTCTGAAATTTTTATAGCTATGGGAGAGTATTTCCAGAGTGTGAAAAAATAGACATTGGACATTTCAGCTACTGCTTTTAGTATAGTGGGAATTTATTACTCAGCTCGGTTACAGTCTTGGCCCAAACCAAGCAGTTGTGTGGGCAAGCAGGGGGTACCTTTCCTAAATAGCACTGCCAGCGACAGCTCTGTTCATATTTGAGACAGCATGAACCAAGGGTATCGTTCCATCAAAGGCTGTTTGATTATCTCCGAATCTTAGACATGCCACAAAAGTCATTGAGACTTGGCCAATGGATTTTACTTGTATGAGATATTGCATAGCTCCCAAAGGGAGGGAAATAAAAGGGGAGGGAGGCAAGAGAGAGATCAGAGCCCAACAATAAATAGCTCTTTGTACCAGGCCCCTCCCCTAACCCCAAACCGCTGAGATCATAGAGTAAGTTAACAGCGTGCGGTAGAAGGCAGCTGCTGCCCAGCAGCTTGGCAGATGATGACCAGATGTGAACTTGTCTTTCCACAGTGTGTGGCTGTGACCTGGCACAAGGTGGCTTCTTCATAAAGAACGGGGAGTATCTCTGCACCCTGGACTACCAGAGGATGTACGGGACACGCTGCCATGGCTGTGGGGAGTTCGTGGAAGGAGAGGTGGTGACTGCCCTTGGCAAGACCTACCACCCCAACTGCTTTGCTTGTACCATCTGCAAGTAAGTGGGGGCTTCCCGGCAGAGCAACGCTGGGCTCTGCTGTCAAAGCTTGGGGTATCCTCGTACACCTTCAGTCTTGAGTTGTGCTTCGTCTTAAAATATTCCTTTTCTGATCAGTCCTTTGATGTCTTCTCTTTCTACTATATTATCAGTCGTAGTCAAAAAGTAATTGATGATGTCCTCACTAAATAATATGACTGATTTTAAGTGGCTTGAAACCAAGTCTGAAAGCAGCTCTAGATCTTGAAACATTTTGAGCAATGAAACATTGGGAGGACATGTCTTGACTGCTTCAAAAGATAAGCTTATTTGGAAGTAGTTCTTTGTGTGTGTGTGTGTGTGTGTGTGTGTGTGTGTGTGTGTGTGTGTGTGTATTTAAAGTAGTCTAATTTACTCTGTAGCAAGAGTGAGCAAACTATGCCCCATGAGCCAAATTAGACCCAATACCTGCTTTTGTAAATAAAGTTTTATTGGAACATAGCCACGCCCATTTGTTTATGAATCACCTATGGCTGCTTTCAAGCTACAGTGATAAAGATGAGTAGTTGTGACAGAAACCATATGATCCACAAAGTATTAAACAATATCTATGAGCTGGTCTTTTAAGGGGAATGTTTGCCAAGCCCTGCTCTATGGCCATCTGTCATCTGCAAGGTTAAATCTTACCTGCACAACCAGGTTGAGTAAAATGATCAGTCACAGGGAAGGAAACTCTGTGAAATGTGAGTGGGAAGATGTGTATTTATTGTTGTGCTTTGATTCCTATAATGAGATTCACCAACAAGGTCAGCTACTTTATCGATCAATTCTATTTGGGCAACCCCTTGACTGTTGGAAGGGTGGTGATTGTCATTTGCTCCATGTTTCTCAAAACTGCAGTTCAGAGAAGGTACTTTATTTTGTTTTTCAGCATTTCATGTTTCTGGGCCAGAGAGACATAAACTCTAAGAAGGGTAAATTTAATTTCATGTCATTAATTAGCAAGGTAATACTGATAGATGAATCATAATAAGATTTTATAATGTAGTTATTTTAATAACTTTTAATGATGAGCCCATTTCTCAATACATGTTTTAAATCATAATTTAAAATTTTTGGATTCATGAGCTGAAAATGTTTCCATATTTAATCAAAAGCAAAGTTCTCTTGACCTCTCCCTTCTTAGGATGTAGCCCTCAGCCTGGTTAAAAGCCCTGGGCTGGCGTTCAGGAAACCCCACTTCCAGCCCTGTTTCCCCAGCTGATTTGAGACTTACATGAATTAACGTTTCCAAGGCAATTGCCTCATCTGTGGACTAGATGCGAGTGATTCCCCAAACCTGGACGGTCACTGGAACCCCCTGGGGGAGTGTCTCTTTAAAAATAGGCATTTCGAGCCTTCTCTCCCCCAAACTCTCATGCTTATTCAGTAGTTTCTGGAGGGTTCCCAAGTATCATGTGACTCAGCAGGTCAGGACGCCCTGGCCCAGATAAACTCGAAGAGCCCTCCTGATCTTGGCCCTGAGAAATCATTGTTTTAATGTTGGTAACGATGGGCAGACCTTTCTTAGCGACAGCCCTGTCCCTGGACGTTTGAGCCAGTGAGAGGGGCTCACTATTGCTGCCACGGTGCTGCTGCGACAACTGCTAAATGACAGTAATGCTACCTGAATTGCAGGCCACCTTCACAGTTTACAAATACCTTTCTGTAGAATTTAAGTTCACCCTCTTAGCAATTCTGTGAAATCAATCAGGCATTAACATCCCTATTTATGAGTGAAGCTGAGTCTCAGTGGATACGGGACTTTCCCCGGTTAATGTTGCATGCCTGAGATTGGAACGTGGGGTTTCTGACTCTACATCCAGTTCTCTTTCTATTATACACATTTGCACAAATAACACAAGGAAGAGAACTCATGTGGGCAGAGGACATAGGGAAGGAGTAAACTCCTTGAAAAGGGTTCTTTAGGAAATAACGAAAATCAGAGTGCATAAGACTGGGCCTGTTGTTGAGAGCTGGACCCCCACTTGACCCAGAGTGGATCTGAATAGGATTCAAGTCTAAAGATATAGGCTTAGATCAGAGGCAGGGCCTGGACTCCGGCGAGGCACATGAGGGCCCTGAGGGCACATTTTAAAGGTGCTCTCACTCTTAGCGTTGTGCAGTGCATGGCCAGCTCCCAGGAGCTATGGCCTCCTTAATGCCATGCCCTAGGTGCCTCACTGGCCTCGCCCTTGCCCTGGCCCCGATCGGAGGCACAGAGCCTGTGCTTGTTTGCTGTGGAGCCTGATGCCCTCCTTGCAGAGCTGACTGGGGGCTTGGTAAGGTTTAATTAATGGGTGTGAGAAAATCACCCCACTGGCATCCCACAGCAGAGTGTGACTTTGATCATTAAAGACAGAGCAAGTTCTGAGTGGGTGGATGTCACTTGCACCTGCCTGTGACCTGGTCTCCCTAGCTGGTCAATCCAGGCAAATCACTTAACCTCTCTGGGCCTTATTTGAACAATGGAAAATAACACAGCACCACAAGAGGAGAGGAGAGCATCTCAACTCAGTACTTCTAAATTGGGGGGTGCAAGAGTTTAAAATGCTCCATGGTGACTGGCACCGAGCACATCTCTGGAGTTGTCGAAAGTCCAAATTTACTACCTGCGTGTGTATTACAGTTAATTACTACTGCTCGGCAGGAGAAAGGCAGCTTAAAGGAGGATAGCAGTTGTGAAAAGAAAACTCATGTCAAGAAGCTTGAGTTTGTTCTTAAGTAATGGCTCTGACTCAGATGTGGGGAGATGTTTTGCTTATGAATCTCCCATTTCCAGCTGACGCAACCTCACATTTGAAAACTCATGTCGATGAAGATCATGGGCACCTTGGCCAACTGCAAGTCAGTGGGCATGGAAACCGCCCTGTGGCTCTTGATTAATGACTTTTGCCCAAAGCTGTCTGCCTGCTAACTGGGAGGAGAAGAAACTGATAGCGTGCATGCAGAAGGCAGTACTTTTGCAAAATGGTGACTGTCTCGTGTGAACGGAAATTCTCTTTCTGAAAAGAAGCTAATACTGCTTTTTAAACAGATCTTTACAGCATTGTCGTGTTTCTCCATAAGAGACTCTGTCCCAGCACTAGGATACATTCAGGTCACCCACTCAGCTGTCCAGGACAAAGTCTCCTTCAACATGCTTTGTCGCCATAGGTCTAGGGAACTGAAAGAGTTAATGTTTGACCTGTAACCATTTCTCTTGGGGAGGGGCCTTCAGCTCGAATAGGAATTTGTGGTATTTCAGTGGTTTTTCCATAAAGGATTTTCCATTTGGAAAATGGAAACGTTGACAGTGTGCGCCCCACTAAGTGACTTGTTGGAATATCCCTCCCCTAGGAAGGAGAGGCACAGCATTCCCGCTTACTGTCTGGTTGCCCGTAGAAGCTGTGCATTCTTCTTAAAATGAGGCGCGTTTAACCGTTTGGACCATATCCAGCTGGCTGGCTTGGTTAAGACCGCATTTCAGACGTTTGGCTGGTGCTCCGGCAAGAAATGAATTGGCACCGGAGGGCAGCGAGCAGAAGGAATCAGGAAAAGGAACGAAATTGCTGGAATAATCTGGAGGGCAATGTCTTTCTGTCTCCAGGCGCCCGTTTCCACCCGGAGATCGAGTCACATTCAATGGGAGAGACTGCCTTTGTCAACTCTGTGCCCAGCCGATGTCATCCAGCCCTAAAGAAGCCTCCTGCTCTAGCAGTAAGTACCCAGCCACCTGCTGGCATGAGTTCCTCGTAGTTCACAGGTAGCTCGGGCAGGTGCCTGCCTTTGGTGAAACTCTGTTTGGTGGGGCCAAGAGTGAGTCCTATAAGGTATTTTAAGTTGTAAAACAGGAAGCCTTGACTAAAAGCCATGCAGTGAGAAGCATCTCCCTTATTTCAAAAAGACATAAATAGAATTGGACATTAAACTGTGCATTTTGACAGCATATGAGGGGAAAAGAATTATAAAACCTTATATTAGAAATGCTGTCTCTAGCCGTGGAGGTTGAGATGTGAGAGCATTTCATGGTGATGTGATTGATATCTCTGCGTATTAAAAAAAAAAACGGTCCCCACTGTGCCTTAGGGCCAATGTGATGATTTATGCTTAGCCTTAAATAATTGTTGATTCTTTCTTACCCTTAAATATTCTTTATTCACCTGGAGGGTTTCTGATGTTTATTCATTGGACAGATCATTAGCCGAGTACCTACAGGGTGTTTTGTTGTTCTTACTGGTGACAGAGGCATGGACAGAACCAACTCAGCACCCTCAAGCTTACTTTCTAATGAGAGCAGATAGACATTCATGCCTACACAAAAATACCTATAATGTGAAAAAAATTAAAGTAGGAAGAAAAAGGGTAAAGGGGCTTCGTTTATATGAGGCAGTTGGGGGCGGCGGGGGGTGGGGGGGCAGCTCTTAAAAGGTGACACCTAAGGAGAGAGCTGAAAAAAGCATGGGAACCAGCTACACATACGTGGTAAAATTTGTATGACAAGGTTTTGTCTGATCTGGGGGAGTCCTTCCCGAAATAAAAATAGTGGCCAGTTGCTCTATTCTAATAAATAACAGTGGGTAGGCTAGTTAACCTTTAAGGGCGATATACTCTGAACCCTGGGCACCCAGCCTGGAAGCTGTACTTCCGCCTCTTTCCTGGGGAACTAGGAAGCAGGATGGAGGCTTGCCTTGGTCAGTGGATTTGCCAGTCCTTGCGAGCCCTGGAACAATCGTCGTTAAGCCCTGCTGCTCTCAGCACCTAAGAATGAGATTAGCCACTTCTGCTCTGGAGGAATTCTGTGCCGTTTATAACCATGATTCCAAATCTTCCTGTTAAAGCATAAGAATCCCGATACCTATTAAAAAATAAGAATGTTCTGACCAAATCATTTGCATAGAAATTGGATTTTGACCATTGGGAGGGAAGACGAAACTAAATGTGTGAGCGCATCTTCTTCAACACAACTGGATTCTTAGCAGGATCTGTGCGTCCTGCTGATGAGTACTGGCCACCTGGGGAGGGCAGTGGCTGCACAGTAGCACACAATCCTGCATCCCTACTAGGATTTGATTCCCTCGTTGTCCTTACCTACCCTGCCCCAGGCGGGTCACTGGGAAGGTGACCTGAGTGGGAATAGTCACCCATTGTGTGTGGGGGGGGCTTGATCTACCAAGATCAGTTAAGTTCAGACGAGTTAAGAAAAAGAATTATGAGTCCCGGGATTTATGTCCCGCGGGCATACTCAGGGTCACACGAGCTATCCAATAATGAAGTCAGATTAGAGGCAGGTCTGTGGACTCCAGGTTTGGGGCTTTCCTTGTGTTTCCTCTAATACTCTTCATTGTTTAGATTAAGAAACAGAAGTGGGATATTTTTAAAGGCTTCCAGTCCTATCCATCTGTGTAATTTGGAAACCTGTTTCCTAGTCCTGGCTCTACCAAAATGGCTATTCCAATTTTTATTACTCATTTTGTTTGCTTTGTCTATATTTTATGTTTTTATATGACATACATGTTATGCACATAAAAAAGAAAAACATGAAGTGTAAAAATGTATCATACTCAAATCCATTACATCTTTAATGCTAGATGTAATCATTATTGCTTATGTGCAAATTGTTAGAGCAAATCACATTTTCTCCTTTGCTCCCAATGGATGGAATCTCAATTCTGTGCAAATGCTGTTTGATCAGTTCATTGTTATTTTCAACAAGTACTTGTCTATTTAGATAAGTACTCAAATAGCATTTATGGGGCATGTGGGTATGGATGTCTGTCAAAAAGAGAGCTCTTATATATGGATACACACATGCAGAATACCCAAACGAGGCAGGCATGCAAATACTAGAGCAAAGGAATTTTCAGCAAGTTTCTGAAATTCACTGGAGCATAATTAGAATACACTTGCTTGATATTTGTAATTCTTGAAGAGTTGCCTTGTACTTTAAAACTATCCTGATGTGACTTTGATTCTTATTTTTAAAACAATTTAAACTTGGCCAAGCTTCCTAAATAAAAGGAAAAAAATGAAACTCTTCTTTACGAATGTTCAGAGTTGATGAAATATATCAGAGAGCCAAAGCCCTCTCTTTCCTTTGATATGTTCTTTCCAAAACGAGTTTGCTCTTCTGAATCACAGTTGTACTTCGCATGCTGTGGCTGGTTTTCCATAATCGCTGAATGGCAGGTGAAGACAGTGTAAGAGGGAGAGAAGCAAAGAGCGGCCAACAGAAGCCAAGTCGATGATGGGATGAGAATTGGCACAAAATAACCTCAGTTTGAGCTTACGAGATAGAGATGCAGTTGGTATTCTGGCTGTTCAGGGGTTTCTGTATCTATTTCTCTGATGGAGAACTCCCAGTAAAGAGCCTGTGATGTCATAGGCACGCGCCTCTGCTTCCTTCCACCTTACAATAATTCTTCTGACCTTTATATTCTATTTTCTTTTCTTTATCAAACATTCACATATCAGGCACTGTGTAACTGATCTACAAATTTTACCTCAGTTCATCCTCATAGCCACTGTATAAGTTGGCATGAAAAGTATCCCCTTTTCACAGGTGAAGAGGCCAAAGGTCATGGGGCTAAATGAGCTGCCCAAGGTTACAGCCAGTAAGTGGTGGGGCCGGGACACGAACCCCAGCTGCCTGGCCCCAGATGCTGTGCTACTATCCCTGCCTTTTAGTTTACAATGTAGGTATCACCGTCTGGCTTTCCAGAGATGGGGCTGCTGAACCTTGTAGCGGTGGCCTGACTTGTCTGCAAATTAAGCCACGTGTCCTGCCTCCAAGGGCTGTGCATTTCCTACCTGCCACAGTTGCCTCGCTGTTGTAGCACGATTTGGTGAATGGAATCTGTCAGGAAGTTATAAAACAAAGTACCTCAATTAAAGATTATTGTCCCTGAATTAATTAAAACCCTTGCTGCATCCAGTCTAATGCAATTTGAATTCAATAAGCAATAAACATTTTATAACATGGAGGTGATAGTAAGTTACCTCACAGGGTTGTAACGAACATTAATTAGACTGCTTCTACTGTAATAAAAAAACCAATTGCCTGTGTCTAGCTGATCCGCACTTTAGAAATAAAAATGTACGTCCAGAAGACATTAGGCTCTACGGGAAGGTTACATACACTCCTCTAAAGCTTAATTCTACTTCATTCTCCATGGATTTGCCAGAAAGCGAGGAACTGAATCCCGTGAGTTAAGGAGCCATGTGAGAGGGAGTCTGTGTGTCACAACCTAGAGCATGGGGAATCGGGTTTGGATTGTCATTTCCTACGCGACTCCTGTCTATTTCAGGCAGCTGAGCAGGAGTGGGCTGCTGTCTACTACCACCCTTTCCATTTCAAAGGGCGTCTGACGAGTGTCTGATTGCGTATGGGTTAGGCGATAGACGTGGGGACACCCACGCACAAATACATCCAAAGCCGTCTTCCTCTTTTCTCCACTCTGTCTAGCACTGCCATTGTCCTGACTGCCATTGGAACTCATGCAGGTATCAGGACAAGGCTCTTCTTGGACTGAATTTAAATCATTTCAGATAAAGAGTCACATGCATGCTTTCAAAGGAGAGGGAGCATTTTTAAATTATTTTAGTTTTCTATTGGGTGCAATAGCTTTTAAGAGTTGTGAGATCATTTTTCTTTGTGTTCTTTCTCAAAAAGTCATTTGCCAGTTGAGTGGGACTTACCGGCTGAGACACCTAACAAAAGGTGGAGTAGTGATGATGTGACTGCCGGCGTCAGGTCCTAGCTCGGCCACTTACTAGCAGTCTCTCTGCTCCTCCATCATCTTCTATTTCCTCATCTGAAAATGGGATGGTAGTAGAATCAGAAAGGAAAGAAGGAAGACGACATAGCATCATGGTTAAGAATGTGGGCACTACATTTCACAGTGCCTGTCCTGTAGGATGAGATGAGTAAATAGATAAAAGTGCGGTATGCTTATAAAACAATAACTGACTCGTCAGGCATCAACTTCTGAACTTGCGTGTAGACAACCCCTGCTTTTTGTGACTCTGCTCTTTTTACTTTCCTGTTGAAGACAGCCCCTCTAGCTGCTCATTGGTTGGTTTTCACCAGTACAAAAACCAATGAACACAGGAACACATCCATCCATCTAGCCCATGAAGTTGGATGTATGGTGATGTGTTTTATGGTAGGCTCTCCAAAACGGATCTGCCCCTCCTGGGTTAGACACGCTTGTCCTGTAGTATAGAATGGCAGAGGAGGTTGGTAGGACACTGCTGAAGAGTGTGGGCTCCGGACAGGCTTATGGCTGGCTCTAATCCCAGTCTACCACTTCACTTAAGGGTTGGGTGGCCTTGAAAACTCAGCCTCTCTATGCCTCTGTTTCTTTGCCTATGAAATGGTAAACAACAGTTCCTTTCTCAAAGGGCTGTTATGGGGATTGATATCCGTAATGTGCTTAAAAGAGTCATGACATCTAACAAGAACGTCTATATATGAACCATTGCTCTTTAAGGAAGTTTAAGGCTAGAACTTGAGCTTCAAGATCCTCAGAGTCAGAAAGGAAAGAGGGAACAGGACAAAGCATCATGGTTAGGAATGTGGGCGCTACATTTCAGAGTGCCTGGTTTAATTCCAGCGCTACCTTTTTGTAGCCAGGAGCCTGGGGCAAGCTATCTGATGTCACAAAACCTCAGTGCCCTCGTCTAAAAATTGGCAAATAGCTACTTCCAAGGATTGTTGT